TTGTCCACAGAGTCGCTTCCTCCTCCTTCCATGTGTGCTCTGCCCTGTTCACCTTGATGGTATCACTTAATCCTTACAGTACATCTGATTTTTTGCAGTTTCATTTCTTCTGGAGATCTTTAGATCTGTTTTAAACAGGGTTCAGACATTTTTAAAGTTTTTTATTTTTATGTGTATGAGTATATTGCCTGCATGTGTGTTAGTGTACCTGTGTTGTGTAATGCCTGCTTAGGTCAGAAGAGGGCATTGGATCCCCTGGAACTGGAGTTCCCGACAGTTGTTCGCCACCACATGGGTGCTGGGAATTGAACCTGGGTCCTCTGCAAGAGCAGCCCATGCTCTTAACCGCTGAGCCATCTCTCCAGACCCCTTAAAAGTATTTTAAATTGACACATAATGTCTGTATGTGATTTATGGGGTACTGTGTGAGATTTCATACATGTATATAATGCATAAAGATCAAATCAGGGCAGTTGGCATATAGGCCACCTCAAATACTTACCATCTGTTAGATATTAAGAACATTCAAAATCTTCTACTAGCTGTTTTGAAGTATATAAATAAACACTGTCAATCTTATAGCCATTTTAGTTTCTTAAAAAATTTTTTTTAGATTTTATTGTTTTTATTTTATGTGTATGAGTGTATTGCCTACATGTGTGTGAGTGCACCTGTGTCATGCACCGCTGTGGAGGTCAGAAGAGGGCTTCAGATTCCCCTGGAACTGGAGTTAAGGACAGTTCGTAGCTGCCATGTGGGTGCTGAGAATCAAACCTGGGTCCTCTGCAAGAGCAGTCAGTGCTCTTAACCGCTGACCCATCTCTCCAGCCCCAGTTTCTTAAAAGTTTAAACACTAAGTAACTAACCACTCAAAAAGTGCATAGTTATTTAATTAAATAGATGTATTCAAAACCCCATGGTACTCCTGTTCCTGAATACTTTTTTTGTTGTCGTTTTTCCTTTTTAGAGACAGGGTCTCCCTGTAGTTCCAACTCACTATGTTGACCAGACTGGACCTGATCTCATGGAGATCTGCCCGCCTCTACCTCTGCCTCCTGAGTGCTGGATTAAAGGCATGAGCCATCATGCCCAACTCCATAAATACTTTTATGCATTACATTAAAATTAGAATAGATCATAGTTATAAGAAAATTGCTATCTGTTGCAGAAATTCTAAGCTGCATTTTAACTCAGTCTTTTCAGGTCATTCCTACTTTTTGTCATAGTTAAGCTAACACATCTAACTACATTGATTTATATTTTAAAATATAGAGTATTTCTAAGTTATATAAGTAATCCTCTCAAATTTGTATATCATCATCCTTATACACAGTTAGCACATAACTGTTCAGGGTCCAGGATATCGAGCATCGTTGCACATGCTTACTGCATTCTTACCAGTTTGTTGACTCAAGGGAGATAGGAGAGTCACAGGTTCCTGAGCCCTGGGGAAACTGGCTAGAGAGACTAGCGCAGAGGCCTTAGGTAGTCAAGCCATGACTGACATTGCGGAAGGAGGCGCGTGACAGATACAAGAAACATTTCTCCTTGTCTTGGTCTTCACAGGCTCCGAGATAGAGACCCATAGCCTGGCTGCAGATTATCCAGGGGAAGGCTCCAACTGGCCATCATAATCAGGTGTCTATGTCTCCTATGGGAAGCTAGATGAACAGGTGTGAGAGATGTCTTCATGGGCAGGAGTTAGATTGCCAATGAGCAAACAGAACAAAGGGAATAGAAACAGGGCAGATTCCCAGCGAGGCTCACTCAGAGGGCCAGGAGGAGATACCAGATCAACAAAGGAAAGGAGAACTTATGAGTGGAGGAGACTGAATAATGTTCCCTAGAGGCTTCCAGTCCTATACCCTGGACCCCATCAACCATATCTGCTGTGATGAGAGCACTTTGCAGATGTGACTCATTTATGGGTCTTGAAGCAAAAAGATGCATTATCCATCTGGGTTCTAAGTGTGGTCATCTTACAAGAAGGAGGATAAAGGGAGATGTGGCTGTGGAAATGGACATTGGGGGGATGCTGCCAAAATCTGAGGAGCCACCAGAAGCTGGGACAGGCAAGGAATGGGTCATCCCCCAGACCCACCCAAGGGCCGTGCTCTTGGTTTCTGCCTAGTGGGATCTATTGATGACTTCTGTTCTCCAGATAGATGTGTGTTGTTTTAAGCCACTAATTTGTGCTCACTTGTTCCAAGCCACCAAAAGTTTATTTTCATGTTTCTGGAAGTAGACATGAGGAACAAAACAAAACCAAATTGTTCCAAACTCCAGGCGTAGGCAATTGGAGAGGAGGATGTGTTCAGTGGGAACCCCTGCCATAGAGAAGACAGGAGACTGAATGGAGAATGTGGGATCTGTTGCTGCAGATCTGGGGGTGGGGGGGAATGCAGGGACAGATCCAAGACATGAATCAGAACTGGGAAATGGAAGCAGAGAAACTATTAAAAACTGGGATACAGGGACTAGAGAGATGGCTCAATGGTTAAGAGCATTTACTGCTTTTGCAGAGGATGGGACTTCAGTTCCAGCACCCACGTTGTGGCTGACTCCAGTTCCAGGGTATCTGATACTCTCTTCTGGCTTCCACATGCATTGTACACATATGGTGTACTTACATACATGCAGGCAAAACACTCATACACATGAAATGAAAATAAATAAATAATAAATAAATAAATATTTTTATAGACAGAGGTCTTCAGATGGTTGAGTGTGTCCTTGAAAGGATTAGAGGGCCCAGAGCCTCCTCCTCACTCTCTCCTTTGTTTCCTGGACCCCAGGCGAGCTGTTTTGCTCTGTCTTCTGCTTCCACAACAACCTACTACTTGATGAAAAACTACAGGAAGCCTATTATGGTCTGGAGCCCCTAAAACTGTAATCCAAAATATAAGGGCTAGAGATATAGCTCAGTGGTAGAGAGATTGCTTAGCTTACATAAGACACTGGGTTCAATCCCCATGACCATACACACACACACACACACACACACACACACACATACACACACACACAGAATGTATCTTTCTCTATAAGTTGACTCTCTCAGGTGTTTGTCACAGTAATGGCAGGCTGTGTCCACTTCTCTCTACATGTTATACTTTCACTCCAGAAGAAAAGTTGAAATAGTCTTGAATGTTTAGACTGTGCCAGACACTGTGAACAAGTCAGTTGGGGCTCTTGTTCTCATGGACCTAAGTTTGACAATGAGATAGAACATGTCTCATGCTTAGCACAGTGCCTAGCAGAGAAGGTCAGCCAGTAAATATTAGCTGGTAGGAAGCATGCTACAGCTGGAGAAACTGAATGAACAGAGACCTGCGGGGTTCTATTAAGCATGGCTGTCTAGAGGAAGAGAACCAAGAAAAGGTACATGTATAAATTATAAAGGGGGCTTTGTTAGGTAGACTTTACACCATAGTAGCTGAGAAGTCCAACAGTAGACAGGCAGAGGACCAGATTCTCGGTGCTGGAAGCAGGATACCTCAGCAGTCCCAGTCTGGTGCTGAAACACTGGATGTTTCCAGAGAGCCATTGGTATTGAATTCACATTGGGAAGCCAAAGAAACCCAGAGTCTTATGTCAGCAGATGTCAGCAGCTATGGACCCATTCCATCAGGCTGCCTTGCTCTGACTGTTTTTCATCTGGGCTGCCAGCTAGAAGGGGCCTGTGATGTTCAGGGAAGGTCTCTCCTTCCCAGTCACTGTTCTACATGTGCATGCTGATCCTCTCTGGAAAAGCCGCACAAGCACACGGGGGTGTTTCCCAAGTCCGAGACATCTCTTCAGCCAGCCAAATGACAACAAGCGTATGCGGGGTATGTTGTGAGCCTGAGCAGATATATACATGTGAGCCAGCTGCAGATATATACATGTGACCTGAGGCTGCAGGTCACCAGGAACCCAGCAACAGGACCTCGCAGAGGGATTGAAAGGTATCAAAACTGATCTCAACTCAGCATGGCTGCCTCAAAAGGTGCAAAGTGGGAAAATGGCTGGAGCATGTACTTGGTCTCCCCTGACCTTCCACAGTCCACCTGCTGGTCCTCCGCCCAAGAATAACCCTGCACATGTCTGACGACAGACCTGACTGCAGTGGGCTCTGTCATGGTTCAATTAGGGAGTACTAGGAAGTGTTCCTGGACACTGTGGGCCTGACACAAGATCTATGCCCAGACTAGAGCCAGCCTTGATGTTCCTCTTCCATACACTTTATCACAAAACACACTGGCTTGTGGGAAACTTACAGTCTGATACCGAATACACATGTCATGGGACTAATTGCTCCCTAATCATGAAAGGCCACTATTGCTTATTAGGTCTGGGAGAGACATTAGAGTACTCCCCTTCATTTTTCTGAGAAACAGAGGCTAGATGGGTAGAGATTGCAAAGCAAATGTGCAGGGATGTGCAGACGAGGTGCCAGCACGGGACCTTGGCTCTTATCTTCCATCTCACACTGTTGCAGCTCTGCTATTTCTGATCCATAGGGGGACTTAGGGACAAGATCTGATGTTAAGGGAGAGAGCTCGAGGATGTTTGCACGTAGCCTTTTGTCTGAAACTGCTGAAATATCAAACAATGAGGTGCTGATGGAGAATGGGGTTGGGGAGCCCCATTAAATCCCAAATTGCACCCACCCTAAAGGCAGGCAGAACCTCTGTTCAGGTTCTGCCGAAGGGCCTAGGTCTTCTGTCAGCTGCCAAGACATGGCTTTTGTCCTCAAACCCAGTCTTTAATGGGCATAGTCAGCTGTGTTGGAGATGAGGCAGGGGCTCACTGGGCACCTGTGACTTAGCCCTCGAGAAGGTCCTTGCTCCCCTGGATTCCCTCTGGGCTCCGGGGGCCTGCATTGATGAGGGGAGGGTGATGGAAGTGTTGTTCTCAGAGGCCTTGGGCAGGTGGCTGGGTGAGAGTTGGCAGGCAACAGAGGTGGAGCTGACCTGACGCCAGCGGTTTGATGCTGTCTGTCTCTTATCTGTTTTCAGGGGAGGCTCAGAAGCAGGAGCCAGACGAAAGCTGCGTGGTTCCTGAGGTGTTGACAGTGCCTGAGCATGCTGGAAGGCCTACTGTCAGCTCATCAGCACAGCCAAGCCACAGGAGCCAGCGCTCTCATCATCATCCTCTACCCCAGCTACCTTCAGAGGAGGAAGTAAATGTAGTAAGAAGAGAGAGTCATCAACTGACAAAGGGACAGGCACCTGTAGACCTGGAGGGGCTCAGAAGGGAGGGTCCCAAGGGGGAACAGAGGTGTGAGCCAGGCCTGTCCCAACCTGGTCTGGCCTCCCAGGGGGAATGCCACACAGCTCTCCTAGACCACTTACCATCCACACATTCTGAAGCTGAACTTCCCCGAGTGGAAGATGACAGCGGGATCTCCAAGGGTGGAGACGAGCGGAGTACCGTGCAAACATGAGGGAAACAGGGACCGACATGGTGACATGTTGAAGGCATCGGGGACAGCAAGGAAAGGCTGAAGCCTCAGAACATGCATCCAAGTCACTTTCTGCTAAAACACCTTCATGTGTGCAAATGAGAAAATGCTCTGATCCTGACACAAGCTGGGAGCGCCCAATGGTACCAGCTTGGTTTGATTTATTAAACACAGGTCTGCGAGAATCTCCGTGTCACCTCTGTCTGCTGAGGACGTGCCGCTGTGAACATGGCTGGGCGTGGGACTTGTGGCTGCCATATGGCTGCCTTCCCATATCCCTCTTTCTGTCGGCACTTGTTTTATTAGAGAGAAGATGTTTTTCTATTAGCATTTAATATTGTCCATCAAAATGATAGGATGAGCTGGGAAAGGAAGGTTTTCACCAGCTTTCTGTCTTGAGGATCGCTGGGCTGGAGGGAAAGATGTAATAGAGTATAATGTGTTCACCGGGCCATATGCGTGCTTCATCATGCCCCTTGCCCCCAGCATGGGTGGTCCTGGTATCCTGCCTCTCACAGTGGCAGGTGAGAGGGACCAGAACAGGCTTGGAAGGTTGGGCTGTAAGTTGGAGAGGCTGTTTACTGACTGACTATAGGTTTCAGTGTTCCATTCTGGGTGTGGAAGTTTCACTGGCCTGGAGGGATAGGAAGCAAGGGGTTGCCAGGAGAAGGGGACTTTCCAGTGGTGGTCTGATTTTTCAGTTTCTGAGATGTCATTAGAAATACTGCCTGTTTTTCTCCAGTCAAGGCTGAATATAGGATGTTGTGGCTATTTGAGGGGTTGGCAAAGCTCACTGCTGAGACTCAGGCCAGTTTCCTGTACCTCTTCAGGCCTTGAACCATTCCCTCCATCAAAAGAATGCTGCCTCCGTGCCACCAGGTACTGGAGCTTTAAAGACGGGAGATGGAATTCATGAGAAAAGGGGACAAGATGACTTCATTAAGCCTTGTCTACAAAGGCAACAGCAGATGGAGTGTGATGTTCAAGGGGAGAGGAGGGAGTGGTCAACACTGGCCACGGCTTCCTCTTAGAGTGAAGATGAGTTTCTCTAGGTAGCACTAGGGCTTCAGAACTTTGCAGGGCCATTGAACCAAGCCCTTTCTTTGAGCTGTCGCCAGGGGGCATCTGAGATTTCCAAGCTCATGCCACCTCAGAGAGCCAAAATTGCTTCTGGAGTCACCTGTCTGAAACAGAAGCTCCCTGGTGGCAGGTGTTACCCACTCATCCTTAAACCTGTCAGTGCCCCGGAACTCCTGGAGACAAGGACTTGCCCTCAGTCTCTGAGGAAGTAGGTGTCCCAGTACTCTGTTTATCCCTCTGTATTCCAGTCGCTCCCTTGAATCCCCCCTCTAAGGCCACCCGTCGGGGAGGGCACTCTTGCGGCTGCTCCGGCAGTCCTGGAGGAACCTCTTCTGCTGGATAGGGGCCTCAGTTGGCTGCACATGTTCAGCACTGCTGTATAGAGCACTAGAGTCACCAAGGGAAACCCAGCCAGATATGACTCAGTGAAAAGACAAGGAATACTCTTACCCCCAAGAAGCCCTTGTTTGGATACACAACCAGCAGGTGCACTTCACAGTGAAACCTTCTGGAGAGTTTATAGTAAACTCCAACATAACCCAACAGGGCAGTTAGCCTCAGGGTCTGTGCTTTGGGGAGGCAGAACCATAGGAGACATAGCTTGAACTCAGGGTGTGCAGCCAGCCTGGGAGGAGCCTGTGTTATGAGCTGATACTGTCACATGTGTAACCATGACAACACCCATTCCCATACGTGGCACTGACCCATCTCTGCTGTGCCTACCCAACATGGTTCTTCTACTCCAAAAACATTAAAGAGAGTTCCTGCCCCTGTCTTGTGTCTTTAAGAATTATTGTGAAAGCACGAGGCATTCTCTCCCCAGTTCCATCATATAACGCACATCTGTCATGGCATGCCAGCAAAAAGCCACACAGAAGTTTAAACAATGGGACAATGAAGTCTATTGTGTGACTGGAACTTCTGAAGTGGAGCATCTCAGAACTAGTTCATTCAAGAATTTCCCAAGGTTGGGGCCTGGTTTAAGAGCACTAGCTGCTCTTGCAGAGGAACTGGGTTCGATTCCCAGCACCCACATGGTGGCTAACAACCATCTATAACTCCAGTTCCTGAGGAATCTGACAGTCCCCTCTAACCTCTGTGGGCATTGTGTGACTTGGGTGTACTTACATCCATGCAGGCAATACATTCATACACAGAAAATAAAAATAATAAATTTAAAGGGACTGGAGAAATGGTTCAGTGGTTAAGAGCACTGACTGTTCTTGCAGAGGACCTGGGTTTGATTGCCAGCACCCACATGGTGGCTAACAACCATCTGTAGCTCCAGTCCCAGGGATCTGACACCCTTTTCTGATCTCCACATGCATTGCATGACATGGGTGCACTTATACACATGCAGGCAATATTCTCATATACAGAAAATAAAAATAATAAAATTTAAAATAATTAAAAAAATAATTTTCCAAGGATCTGGGTGTCCATCTCCCAGTTTGCTCATTTGGAGTTGGTTACTCATTCATGACAACAAAGTAGCTATAACAGCTCCAGGCATCACCTATTATTACATGCCCAAAGGCAGAAGGATGTGTATATGTTTCAAGAGAAAAAACAGTTTCTGTCACACTTTATTGTCTGACCGTATCATATGCCCATATCTAAATCCCTAGCAAGGAAATGGCATTATTGTGATGGGTATAGGTTTATCAAGATTTACCCTCTGAGTTGTCTCTAGACATGCAGACACTAAAAGAGGAATCACCAAAAACAAAATCATGTCTTAGACTTGCAGGAGAGGAATTAGATTTAAGTAGACTTGAACCCATATATCTTTCCTGTTCTTGCTTAATAATCCAGAATATTATGTTGCCAAAGGGTTGGGAGACCATTGTTAGAAAAAGCACTATCTCGTCTCCCCTCCTGATTATGGTCTGTGTTGTATAAGGAGGATATTCCTGTTCTTGCTCCCTCTGTAGGTGTGTCTGTCCTTCTGTTAGTTTTCTGGCTTGTTGGCAGGCAGAACACAGAGAGCCCCCTGGATAAATGGAGCAGAGTGGAAAGAGCACTTGTTTGCACCGTGAATTTCGCCTGCTTGCATCATCCCTGCGAGGCTGTAGGTGTGGATGTTCACACTGGGTATTTGTCTTACTGTGAATGATGGCCTATGGAAAGATGGGAAGCAGGCATTTCTCACCCTGACTCCCTCCCTTCCCAAGCCTCTCCTGCTCACCTTGGCTGCCCCATCCCCTTCACCTCCCAGAGCATCCCTCTGAGCCCCACCAGTCAAGAAGTCCTGCTAGAGCCTCTGCCCCAAGAGCAACCAAAGTTGACAAATTAGTTTTCCTGCATGACTCCCCATTATAATGCAAAGTTCTAGAAGGGGGCCCCTGTCATTGGTGCACCACACAGAGTGAATGAATTCTTGCCACTTTCCTCCCTTTGGGAGTGCCTGCACCCACTTCACTATCTGACATGAAAAAGTTTTTTCTTCCCTTTAAGCAATTTCAATTTCATTAAAATGATTCTCCCTGTCTGTCACTTCACAATGAAAACTTGTCTTTGTCCCTCTTGGTTTTCTGCACACACACAGACACACACACAGACACACACACACACACACACGCACGCACACCAAAAATATCAGAGTGCTTCCTTGTTTCATTGTACAGTCCTGTGGTTGCCTGGGTACTGTGCTTCTCTTTGGAGCAGTCTCTGCTGAGGTGATCATCTCCTGCAGGT